TGTAAGCAGACACTAGTAATTGGAACATGGAATGTGAGAACCATGAATGTAGGAAAATTAGAAATTGTTAAGAAAGAAATGGAGTGCATAAATATTGACATACTAGGCACTAGAGAGATGAGATGGACTGGTATGGGGCATATCGAGTCAGATGATCATATGATATATATTACATATGATATACAGGGTTAAGTACACTATTAAAATGAATGCCTCCTGGTTTGGTTAGTTGGTGATTTATTTTTTATTTCTGTCTCTCTTTTTAAGAATATGGTGACTGCAGCGCTCTCCCGAGTCAGACCCGCACAGCTGGCGAGCCTTGTGTTGCCTGGTCCTGGACCTTGCCCTCACCTCTTTGACACCTTTTCATCCAGATGTCTGAGGAGGTGCACCATGGAGAGGAGGAGGTGGAGACCTTTGCCTCTCAGGCAGAGATTGCCCAACTCATGTCTCTAATCATTAATAGGTTCTATTCCAACAAGGACATTTTCCTTAGGGAGTTGATCTCCAATGCTTCTGATGCATTAAACAAGATGTTCTATGAGAGCCCAAAAGAACCTTCCAAGTTGGACAAAAAAAGTGACATCATCCCTAACCCCCAGGAACATACTCTGACCCTTGTGGACACAGGCATTGGCATGACCAAGGCTGATCTCATAAATAATTTGGGAACAACTGCCAAGACTGGTACCAAAGCCTTTCTGGAGGCTCTGCAGGCTGGTGCAGACATCTCCATGATTGGTCAGTTTGGTGCTGGCTTTTTATTCTGCATATCTGGTGGCAGAGAAAGTGGTGTCACTACAAAGCACGTGATGATACGCAGTATGCCTGGGAGTCTTCCGCTGGGGGTTCCTTCACAGTTGGTGCTGACCGTGGTGAGCCCACTGGTCGGAGTACGAAAGTCATTTTAAAGAAGACCAGACAGAGTACTTAGATGAAAGACGAGTCAAAGAAGTAGTGGAGAAGCCCTCACAGCTCACAGGCTCCCCCATCACCCTCTATGTGGAGAAAGAACGAGAGAAGGAAATCAGTGACGGTGAGACCGAAGAGAAAAGTGAGGGAGAGGAAGATAAGGATGATGGAGAGAAGCCCAAGACAGAAGATGTGGGTTCAGATGAGGAGGATGACAGTGGTGAAGACAAGAAAAAGAAAACAAAAAAAAAAAATAGGAAGAAATAAATTGATCAGGAAGAAATGAACAAGACTAAGCCCATTTGGACCTGGAATCCTGAAGACATTGCACAGGAGGAATATGGCGAGGTCTACAAGAGCCACACTAATGACGGGAAGACCGCTTGGCAGAGTATCTGAACTCCATCCGTGGTGTGGTTCACTCTGAGGATCTGCCCCTCACAGTTCTCGTGAAATGCTGCAACAGAGTGAACCACACCACGGATGCAGTTCAGATACTCTGGTGTCAACTCATCACAACTGTCCATGATGAACACATGGCGAACATAAACTTTTCTTCCTGTTCTCAAAGAAATCAAAGGGAGCCCGGCGAGGAATAAAGAGCAACGTCCTGAACTCCAGCTGGCCCTCTGTTGAGAAGGGCTTGACTGCCAAGCGGTCTTCCCATCATTAGTGTGGCTCTTGCATACCTCACCATATTCCTCCTGTGCGATGGCTTCAGGATTCCGGGTCCAAATGGGCTTAGTCTTGTTCAGTTCTTCCCGATCAATGTACTTCTTCCTTGAAGGTCGTGTGCAGAAACATCGTCAAGAAGTGCCTTGAGCTCTTCTCTGAGTTGGCAGAAGACAAGAGAACGACAAGAAATTCTATGAGGCTTTCCCTAAAAACTTAAAGCTTGGAATCCATGAAGATTCTACTAACCGGCGCCGCCTTTCTGAGCTACTTCGCTGTCACACTTCCCAGTCTGGAGATGAGATGACTTCTCCCTCAGAATATGTGTCTTGCATGAAGGAGACCCAGAAGTCCATCTATTACATCACTGGGGAGAGCAAAGAGCAGGCGGCCAACTCTGTTTTTAGGAACGAGTGCTCAAGCAGGTCTCTGAGGCTGTGTATGTGACTGAATTTGTTGAAGAGTACTGTCTGCGGCAGCTCAAGGAGTTTGATGGGAAGAGCCTGGTTTCTGTCACCAAAGAGGGCCTAGAACTACCTTAGGATGAAGAGGAGAAAAAGGAAATGGACGAGAGCAAGGCCAAGTCTGAGAACCTCTGAAAGCTCATGAATTTTGGATAAGAAGGTTGAGAAGGTGACAGTCTCCAATAGGTTTGTATCTTCACCCTGCTGCACTGTGACCAGCACATATGGCTGGACGGCCAAGATGGAGTAGATCATGAAAGCACAGGCGCTTCAGGACAACTCGACAAAGGGCTACATGATGGCCAGAGAGCACCTGGAGATCAGCCCCAGTCATCCGATTGTTGAGACGCTCACACAGAAGGCGGAGGTGGACAGAATGACAAAGCTGTGAAGGGCCTGGTGCTGCTGCTGTTGGAAACTGCACTGCTCTCTTCTGGCTTCTCCCTTGAGGAGCCCCAGACTCACTCCAACCACATATACCGCATGATCAAGATGGGCTTAGGCACTGATGAAGATGAGGTGACAGCTGAGGAAGCCAGCTCCTGATGAGATTCCCCCCACTGGAGGGTGATGAGCATGCATCCTGCTTGGGGCAATTAGATTAAAAGTTCCTACTGTAACAGGTCCCATCTCCCCTGTATCGCATCCCTGTGGCTCCCACAGCAGCTCTGAGTCTCTCTCTCCCACCTGGCTCCATCTGCTGACAGCTAGTATTTTCTGTGCTGGCCTGTGTGTGAGGCAGGATGCAAGGGCCTCTGGCCTCATTCCCTTCCTCAACAATGAGGTTGGAAGCTGTGTATTTTGAGTTTTCTTTGTTTATTTTGTCCTGAAATTAAAGTATGCAACATTTTATTAAAAAAAAAAACAAAAACCCAAACCAAAACAACCCACCAGAACACAGTGACTGCAAACTTTAGGTTATACTCCTACTGGACAGTGTTGATTTAGAGGAAGAGGACTCAGTGGTCAGTGAGATTTTGACAGAAAGGGAGGCTCCTTAAAATGTTACATAAGCTGCAGATATGAGGAATAAACCTTCCTTATTATGAACACGTTACATGAAATTTTTTTAATTCTCAAGATGACTTCATACATGGTCTTCACATGGGTTTTTACATGGTCTTCAGTTCCGCAAGAGTTATGTTAAGATTTCAGGCTCCTGACACAAGGTCAGGGGTTTGAATCCTTCATGCGGGAAAGGCAAGGCAGTCTGTCCCCGTAAGGTTGACAGCCTCAAACACCTGACAGAGGGGCGGTGCGAGTCAGGACTTATTCGAGTGCACAGGCTTTCAAGGTGCTCATGTCTTTCTTTCTATCTTTTTTTCTTTTGGTTTAACGCCACCCCTCTCCCTCTCACCTCCAACCTTGCTGGATAGACTGTATTTTTATCTGCAAGATGATAAAATGCAATCTTTCACATGACGTGGCCCCAAGTAGCTACTTCGATGAAATAGGAGACTGTGAGTCCTAAATCCATTGGGCAACTTTTCAGTGCAAACTGGAGCTAAAAAAGAACTGAGCACTTTATCTGGGGGAGACAGACCCATCCAAAGTGCTGAGGTCAGATGGGAATTACGAGCCATTTCCACGGCTCCTTCCATCAGATTAGAACTGTGAAAAGGCAAAATTATTTATTATCATTTTGTGAAATGTTCAGAAAGAATATCTGCATATTTATACCATTATTTTATAAATGTAAGTAGGTTTTAATTTTTTTTTTTTTATGGAGTGTGGAAGCTGTGTGAGAAGCAGTATGAACAGATTCTTGGCCATATTCCATTTACCTCATTCACTTAGGCCTTAAGCACTTAACTTAAGCAGGCACTTCTCAAGGCACCACCATCTGCTACCTTAAGTATAAACTCAGGAGGGAAAAAAGACCACAGCTGCTCCAAACTGGTAAAGCCAGCACCTACAGAGACATCTTTAATCACACAGTCAGGAAGAAATGTGCTTGTAATCTGTGATTAAAACAAGCTTGGAAGCAGGAGTGGCATCCACTTCTGAAATAGCTTGTCTCCGGAAACTCTATGAACTTGGAGAAATGATGAAAGTTATACAAGTGTTCAGGGTCACTATGAGTCATCTATGACTTGACTTAATGACGACGACAACAACAACGAGAGAGCTCTACTGGCCTAGTGGATAGAAAGTTATACTACCAAGTCAAAGGTGGGTGATTTTAATCTGCGGCCCTCAGGCCTGGTTTTAATTGTTTTTGGTCGAACATTCTTCTAAGTGGCATAGCACTGGTCTGTCCATTTGCTGTACAGAGGTGACTCGTGGTTGCTGTGATGCTAAATACTGTGAAAATGATGTGTCAAATGCAAGAATGGTTACCCGTGGTGGACAGCGTTTGGTGGAGCTCCCCAATTAAATCAAGCTTAGAAGCAGGAGTGGCATCCACTTCTGAATAGCTTGCCTCTGGAAACTCTATGAACGTGGAGAAACTACGAAAGTTATACAAGTGTTCAGGTCTTTCATTCATAGGGTCGCTATGAGATATCTATGACTCGATGTCACTTAACAACAACAACAACAATCCACAGGTATTTTCTACATCAATGAAACATAATAATTGGCTATTCATTTTTTAAAAAGACAAAAAGAGACACACAAACACAAGTGTAAAACAAGAACACTGACATGAGTTTTCAACATTAAGGGACTATTTGTGGCACAGAGAAGATAGAAGTTGAATTCTGCAACTTTCTAACTTAAGGAAACAAAAGATTAATAGATAATTTAAGAACTGATAATAGCTTAATTTCCTGTTTTTTTCTCTCACAGAAGACAAAGCAACAAACATTCTATGTCAAACATCATACAAGAGCTAGATCTGTCAGTAAATGCTGGCCGCCGACGCTGTGCTCCCTCAGTGCTGAGCACTTACCTTGATCCAAGTTCTCGTCTATTTCCTGGAACCTCACTCTTCGCTTGGATGGCTTCTGCTGCATTTGGGATGGCTGACTTCCTGCAGTGTCACTCCTCTTCTTTAATATGGAGACTAAGCCTTCAGCAGGAACGATCTGCCACAGATTTTAAGAATCATCTGTTACATGATGTCACTACGTATCAATGATATTTTAAATGAGAGGTTAGAAAGATGAATTCAACAGGTATCTGAGCTTCTTTTTTAAAATATTATATTGGTTTGCTAACAGAGTTCTTATACACTGTGTTTTATACAACCATTCTCATGCATTATGTTTTAGAAACTCAATCACCATTGAACCTTGCCCAGCATTACTCAATCTTTTCTGGTTCCCACTGGATCCTTCCCATTTCCTTCACGTCCTCCCTCCACTCACCACACTGTGCAACCCTCTGGTTTCCATCCCTACCAATCCTCACCCCTCTGCTCCCATACCTTCCCCTTTTGAGTCCCCATAGATGTTTTACTAGTTATCCTATTTTATGTCTTAAAGGGCATCTGAGTTTCTTTTTTGTAGTTGTCCAACTGCTACAGGGGTAGAAAGAAATCACAATCATCAAACTGCAGTAGAAAAAACATTCACTTTTATGCGAGTGACTGGCAAATACGCAAGTCTAAAACACTGGTTGCTTTTCTAAGCCCTCAAATTTGACTACAGGGACAGGTAGTGTGACACTCTGCAGTAGAATTTTAACTTCTCTGCTTTGTAGCTTAACTTCTCTGTTGTTGTTGTTATGTCCTGTCAAGTCAGAAGTGACTCAGACAGGAGGTGACCTTCCTATTTTCAGAGGCTGTAAATCCTGCAGGAGGACACTGTCCATCTTTCTTCTGTGGAGCAGCTGGAGGACCCAAGCCGCATGTTTTTGGGCTGCTAGTGTTAAGTCCTTATCACCAGGCCACCAGAGGGCATCTAAAAATGACCACTTAGGGATCCTCTTGGCTCTCTTGAGTTTTGCTTTATAAGAGATTTGATTCATCACTGTCTTCCATGTTTTAGCAAGTTTCAGGAAATGAACATGTGAAAACTTCAAAATGAGTGTTGTCCTCCATTTCTCTCAGAAATACGCATTTACTTAAATAACACTCTACTATTATTATGCATGTACTTAAATAATGTTCTACTATTAAGGAACACTTTATGAACTGTTCGTGTAGAACTATTCTAGAGTGAGTTTACTCTGGAATTGCATTTGATTCTCATTATTCGTGATCATGTCCAATAGTCATTTTTTAAACAAAACTCACTGCTGTCAAGTTGGAACCAACTCCCAGCTGACGCTCCCAAGTGTTTTCAGAGGCTGTAATCACAATGGAGGAGACTGTCCATCTTTCTCCTGTGGAGCAGCTGGTGGATTCGAACCACCAGGGAGGTACCAGCTACAGGCCAGCAGCACAGTTCCCTACAGACGGGGACACCGGAACTTCCCTGAACACTGCCTTAAAAATACTAAGCCACTCTTCTTAAGGGACTATGCTTCCATGAGCCTGTGCTCATGACATTTTTAGCCTTTGATTATACCGTGGGCTGTTTATGTTTCTGCTTAAAGACACAGGCCTGATCATAGCCGACCTAAACATGTGTTTTCTCCAGAAGGCACACCAATGACTATTTGTGATAGCACTTTAGTACTACATGCGGGGATCATTTAAACCAGCAAAATCATCAAGGAAACACCAGCATAGAAGTAGGAAGAAACAGAAGATTAAAGGGACCACGAGAAGAATACCTATGTGTACACCAGAGCTGAAAGACACTGTCAACTTGTCAACCCCCCACCAGGGAGCATGTCTACCAAGACATTCCAATTGTTTGCACTCTGAGCATGCTCATGAATGACCACAGAAGAACAGTGAAGACAGATTTGGGGCTTACAACTAAACTTCAGGGGAGTCTGTCAATACTGAGGGGCTGGCAGGCCACAGGGCCACTGCATATTTCTGTAGACAAATGGATCCGAATTAGCCAATCCCATTCCTCTAAGCAATGCCTAAGGCTTTGGCGCCACATGACAGAAATTAATAGCTGTGACAAATACGGCTCACAAAGCCCAAAATATTTACCACCTGGCACTTTACAGAAATATCTGCTAATACCTGTTCAATCTCCTACCCTCACTAACTCTCTCAAGTCTATGTCCTATCCCTTGCTAAAAACCCAAACCAAGAAACCCAGCCTTTCAGAAACTAAGAGATTCCAATGTGCAGAGGCATAGAGAAGGCGAGCTGGTCGAGCCAGGCTGGGGGTGGGGGTGGGCGGCTTTATGCTGGGCTCCGAAGTGACAGACTGACGCTCAGAAATGAATTTGTGAGTTTCTGCTTGCTACTAGCTCTAGGTGATGACAGTGCAGTGTGGGCCCCAAGCACTGTAGATGTCAGTGGCTTGCTCAGGACTGCCTGTCTTTCTCACTGTCACCAAATCGATTGTCTCACAGAGGACCCCTGAGCAGATTTTCATGAGTGTAAATCACATGGAAGAGAGTACTCACTTGCCTCCCACACTCCAACTATGTCACCAGAGTGCGCTTTTATCTGATCAATGGCATAAAATCCTTCCTATAACTTCCAGTTTTAGCCAGCCATCTCTGATAATAGGCTGAGCATAAACAGCACAGATTCTATTAGCTCTTTTTATAACTCAAGGCTTTTAGGGCTGTGATAATTCAATATAGGTTTGGGTTCCCCTGAGAATGGATCTACAGAAGCCATTAATGTAAAAAAAAAAAAAAAATCAATGAGAAGTCAGCAATTTATTATTTTTATAGGAAATGTGTATTTCAGATGATGTCCTTGTTCTCAGAAAATGAAAGTACTTTAGTGACATTCAAATGGTAAATACAAATACACACAGGAAACTTGTGGTTTTTCAGACTTTTCTTTAAAAAGCAGCAGCAGTTAAAAGCCCCTTCACCTGTTTAAGCAATAACAACAATTTAAAAAAAATTCGTTTACAAGGACCTTGCTGAAATGGAAAATTGTTAATAAGATTTATAAAGAGCAAGGAATGGAAAATGGGAATGAACTTAAATCACTATATTATAACTAAAGATGTATCACTACTTTATTTTTCTTTTTAACAAATGTAAACAAACGGAACTTTCATAGATTTATTGTCTATTTTCTCTATAAAATTGAGTCATACACATAACCACCATGAATTCACACATCATGGCAGTTTTCAAATTGTTTTAACTACTTAGAAAAGCAATCCTATAAAGAAGAGATTTGAGGGTGAACCCTGGAGTGGGATTACTGTTAAACACTTAGCACTGAGACAGGAATTTGACTCTGTAAAGTCTAGAAACAGAGATGAACCATTAATCAAGAGGCACTGTACCGAAGGCCCAAGATGCTGAGGTCACCTGGAAAGGCAGCTTTCACAACCTTACAGCTACCCCTGGTACAGTGCTGTGAGGTAAGGCTGCTCCTGCTACAACCCTCATAAAGGAATACAAATCTTCCCCCAAGGGCAAACCTACAGATGACAATGAACTCTGATAACTTTTTGAAAGAAGGAAGTAGTAGAAAGAATATGATAAATTACAGTTGGGTGGGCCGGGGTAAATGCTTGCTTTGATCACCTCAGCCCTTAATTCTTGGGTAAAACCACACCCAATAAACTAACCACACTTCCTTTTTCTTTTCTGTTCTGCTAAACATCTTTTGTTTAGACAGAGCCTGCCTCAGTGACTTTAGTCAGAAAACATGTTCTTTCCAATATTTCCTTTCAGTTTGACTTTCTTTAAAATTTTTAAAAAATTTTAAATGTTATTCTGATTTATTTACAAAGTTTGAATACATTGTTTTTCACAAAAGAGCCTTCCCATTTCCTTCACCCCACCCAACCATCAAATTGAGGGTTTTCTGCTTCCTTTACACCTGCCCTCTGGTTACACTTCCTATAGATGGAAACAGGGCAAGGCTCAGATCCACTATTTATCACGTCATTATGAGTCACAGGCAACTCAACAGCACACACCAGCACCACAGAGATGCAGAATAGGGCTGAGACCTGGCTTAGGCACAGGGGATACAAGCCAAGGAGGAAGCTCACAGGAGGCAAGTGAAAATGCAGACATGAGCATCCATTCATTCTTGTTTTACGCGGAGGTCTTGGAATCCATTCATAGTACAGAAACTACCACTTTGCACGTCAGAATACTCAAACATGAAGGCCTTAAGAAACAACTTCTAGACGTCCTAATCTACAACATCAACAGTCTTCCAAGCATCCTGAAAAATCTATAACCAGGAGAGGATAAAATAGATAAATGGGATCTGTTTTTTTTTTTTAAATTTTAAGGTCAGTTTATTAAGTTCAATGATGAAAGCTATCAGAAGAATATTCTCCTGAAAATTCTTTTTTCTTAGAAAAAAAAGGAAGGAAAATGAAACCGTCTCAGCCCAGCCACAGCTGCTGTGGCAGTCACGCCTCTCCGCAGATGGGGACAGTCCATTAGTCGGTCAAGTCACTCTCTGGGTCGGCAGGATTATAGTCTGGGTCATCCTCATCGTCCTCCAGCTCCAAGTCATCCATTTCTTGGAACAAAGACTCATCAACTTCCACGTTATTTCCAGCATCCTCCAAGAACTGTATATCAGACGTTATCAAGATTATGATCTGTTTCAAATAGCTGTTTCCCTGTTAACTTATTTTTTCCTGCTTGTTCCTCTTCTTTCATCCGTTTCTTTTTAATTTCCAAGAGTTCTGCATCAAACTTGACTTTCCAACTTAGGAAATTTTCAGTTGTAACAGGAGTGCCATGAAAGAGTTGCTTCTCAGCTTCTTCTGCTTCTTTTTCTTTTTGTTTCTTTTCTTCTTCTGGTTTTTATCTGGTCTACTATTTAATTTAATTTTTCTTGCACAGCTGACACTAAAGTAAAGATCATTACCATACCAAGGTTTTCTTCTGCCTGTGATGCTAATAATTTTAAAATATCTGCTAGATTTTCCTGGGAGAATATTTCATAAAGGGGAACTTCATCTGGGTATTTTTCACTATGTGTAAACTTGAGCGTAGTCTGGACAGTTTCATCATTTTCTCCAGCCTCAGATGTCACAGTAATGGTAAAACTGGGTGGCGTTTCTGAGAGTAC